AAGAAGCAATGGGTCCACAGCAGCCATGATTATAAAGAAGTGGACTTTCTCAGAAAAGCGACAGCCAATGAATGGTGAGAATTTAATTCAAACATTGCTCTGGCCAGTAATCCACAGCTGTGTGTAGCACTCTTGTAAGAATAGCGTATGGGAAAAGCCAACCTCTTCAACCAAACCAAAACAAGCAACAAATTTAGGGGTGGTGTGGCTTCGGATTGAATTATTTTTAGTCCCTGGGTTTTCAAAGAAATTACATCTTAATCCTTTCATGTTTGAAAACATATGTTAGTGTTTTTTTATTAATTCCAAATATACCATCTAACAATTTCAATTTTTAAAGAAAAAACAGCATAGCGAGAGTTTAGAGAAAAACCCATTGATGTTTCAAAAAACAATGGCAACAAGAGCCATTGTACCGAATTATGGTTTTCAAACATAAAGGATTGAGTTAAAAATCAATTCAAAACCGATGGAGTAAAGAGTAATCCACTCTTTGTTTGGCATATTTTGGTTTGTGATTATAATTAGAGATTATTATGATTCGCATATAATTGCCCATATCTTTCCAATGTGTCATAATTGAGATTTTAAGATAAATGTTAAATCACTTATGTGACAAGCAACTACCACTACAAGGTTTAATCTTTTGAGTTTGGTGTGGAGCCCATCAATATTGCCATGGTGACTTGTCATGAAACTAGAAGGCTACACATGGAATGGAGAAAGGAAGATGACGGTGGTGGAAGTGAAGTGGGTGACGGCACTAATGCCTAATCAATGAGTTCCAAATGCTTATTTAGACTTTTGTTTTAAGATAAAACTTATAATGCCCTTTTTGACAAATTGTAAAGAACATTTTCGTTGTGTGATTCATTACATCACTTAATTTTTCGGCGAATGAATTCATATATAATAATACTATAATAAAAATAAGCATGATCGTAAGTATAATGGAGAAGGATACAAAACTATAATTAATAGGTTTTTCCTAAACACAGCTTTGGTTGTATTGACTTAATACAGATTAGATGCTTCCACTTAATTAGAATTTATTTATCAATTATTTTTGTGAACTCCCAAGCTTCAATGATCAAGATAAACTACTCTAAAAAAAGAAAATAAATTGTCAAGAAAATAATATCAGAACTCTTAGTTATTAAATATACCTTCGTCCTTGATTTTATATTGCATAAAATACATTTCGTATTCTTGTGATTAACCAAAAAGGAGGGTTATGCTAATCCCAAAAAAATAAAGAAAAGAAAAAAGGGAGGGTTACAGAATATATACCTATCCAAGAATAGTAATGAACCCACAGAATGCCAAACATCCCCATAGACAAGCAACAATAGATGGATGAAAACCAAGGCCTACTCCCAAACTGGGGCGAAGGCAAATGTGTTGTTCCTGTACCTAAGACTAAAGCACCTTCATGGACCCCACAAACAAAAATCTGCAAACTTCGAAGCCCACGTGGCAACGCATGAGAGGTCACCGTATGCCACGTGTAAGAGAATGCCAGCATGGAAACAAGTGGACGACAGCTGGCAATAATTCAAACACAAATAATTGGGCCAGGGAAGAAGCGCCTATGTAATTTTATAATTTTTTAATAATTTGTAGGGCAAAACAAAACATAGCAAAGACATCACAGGCTGTAATGTGTAAGAACAAAGAAGAGAGAAGACGAATGGTGGCACGTCACATGCTTGCCCACTGCAAAAATGTTTATTGGGACAACTGGGTCCGGCACAACAGGACACTGCACTGCTCATTCCCGAGATGCAATGCCACAAATACACTCAACAGCCTCCTTTCTCACTTCTTATCCATTTGTTGGTGTTATTAAACCACACGGGGAATCTCATAGTACCATCTGCTAGGATCAGCAGAAAGTTAAATATTTCGATTTTATATAAATTTGATTTGATTTTTTATTAATCAACTTAAAAAAAAATCGAAATTTGGTTTCATAAACATTCGGTTTTAACCGAAATAATGTTTTCAAATAAATAAAAAGACATAATATAAATTACGAACACAATGGATTACGTTTGAAATGTTTTTTTGGAGAATGAACAAGACTACTTGTAGATAATTTATAAATCAAAATAGGAAATATAATCATAATTTTATGGATTGAACTAAAATAAATTTCACAATTATTAAATAACAATAAAATATGGCAATTTGAATATAAAAACTAGATAACTTATAATTGTATATATAAAAAAACTTTATGGCGTTGGTGATAATAAAAAAATTATAAAAAATGATAAAATATATTTTCAGTAGCATAAAATGAGTCATGAAATTAGTAAAACAATTGGCAAGTTATATATATATATATATATATTCGGTTTTCGGTGAAAATCGATTTTTTTTTCAAAAACCAAACGAATCAAAATAATTTCAATGAACTTAAACTCGAATCGAAATACATAATTCGATTCGATTTGATTTTTTGATTAACCGAAATTATATTCACCCTGCCATCTTTCCTCCTAAAATGTGAATTTTTTTTTCAATTGGAAGGTAAACTATATTTTTTAATCAATTTTAAATCCATTTGTACATCGATTTATATTAATTTTTTTTCAAATGATTTTCAAAATATATCATTAACATCTGTCTAATGCATTTAAAAAATTTAATAAATATTCTGAATGTTGGTCATAAGGTTTAGAGTTAAGAAATTAAGAAATTATACAAACCTTCTTAATTATTAGATCAACTCTTTGAAATTAATGTAGTTATTTTTATATGACATTAAAGGTATTGTAATACCAATATCTTTACTTCAAAATTAAATCTTTCTCAAATCGAATTTTAAGTAATTCATATACCTATTTGTGCACTCACAAAAAAAATCTCGTACGATTTATGTTTTAAAATTCTGACATTAGATGATAATAAAGGAAGCGAGGACAAATCTTCAATAATTTTATAAATGTGAAGTATGACATAGGAATACTTCATATTCAATGAAGCAGAGACTCGGTCAGTTTGCAATATTAGCATGAAATAGTGCTCACCGAGCCATGCGTTGATTAAAATAATAATAATAATAAAATAAACTTCTAATACACTGATTTGTCAACTAAATCAGTAGATTTTTTGTGATGTGTTGGAAAAGTTAAATAAATTCTTGAACTAAGCCAGCTAACAATAATTGACAATTACCATTCCAATACTCTACGAGAATGGGTCATGCTGATTGGATTTATATTTTGAGTTTTCTATGAGCTATTGTGATTTGCTACATCATAAAATTCATATATATATATATATATATATATGTTGGTTTCTATTACCTAATCAATATTTAATTGCTCTAACGTGGAGGAGGCTAATCCAATACAGACGGTCATAAGAAATCACAGGAGGGATCCTAATGGGCCATGCTGATTGGATTTGTATCTTGAGCAATTCTGATTTCTTACATCATAAAATTAAAATATACGTATATTTTTTTGGTTTTTATTACCTAATCCAATATTTAATTGCTGTAATTTTAGAGGAGGCTAATCCAGGACACATTGTTATAAAAAATGATAAGATGAGCCCAATTAGTTTCTCTCAAATTAAGAAACCATTATTTCACCTAAATCCTAACGTCATGATTTGGCTTTGTATTATTTTCCTTACACTTGACTTACTTTACGTAACTACTCCGTTTTTTCGCCTGAAAGAGTAATGGTAACTACAAGATATTCATTATCATTAAAAAAGAAGAAACCTAAAAAACCACAATACTCATCCATACATTTTAATTCGACTTTACATAATTATTTCTCTTATTTATTAAGCAGCAATCCCAGCGGTAGATTATTCAAAACATATGCTCCCCTGTCTCTAATTCATGTGAAATTTGCAACTGGATACCGGTCAAAACGTTCGCCAGAAAATTGACGAACTAGATCATCTTAAGCACATGTAGAAAATTAAAAATTATTTTTCACGTGAAAGAAAAAACAAAGCAAATTTTTTTTTTATTAATGAATTAGATAAGAAAAACACTATCTAGCCTGAAGTTTCACTTGCATATCATAAGCTATGATATAAGATAAATATCTGATTGTTAATCTATATGTTTTCGAATAAAATACATAATATTTTCTACCGTGTAAGGGATCACCGTCGATTTTTTATTTTATAAAGAAGATAATTTTTTCTTAATCTTTGTCTACCATATTTTTGTTTTTAAATTTGAACCTCATTCTTGATGAAAATCTCAAATCCTAACCGATATCGTGTTTTCTTTCATTCAATTAAGCTTCAGTTTCGATATAAATGTAATTTAATGATTCAAAATGTACACAGATGTGAAACTCATAATCATGTTGCTGATTTTTTTTTTACCAAAAGAAATAAAACAAGAGAAGAACTCATTGAAATGAATAATTTTCCAACTTGCAGCAAACAGCAAGGATTTATCTGTCATTTTTACAAAAGAAAGAAAGTAAATGCTGACATAATCTTGAACTTAAGACATCATTAATCTTAAGTGAGATAAATTAGATTAAATAAATCCCCACTTAGATATAATAATTAATAACGAGTAGTCGTAGTTTAAATAAACCTCCACGAAATCATCCAAAGCACCTTTCGCTTCTTCTTCTTCTTCCCATTCTGACAACTCCAACGCGTAGAAAGACAGCCCTTTTTGTTCAGTCTTCGCGTTCCCGCCGCCCAATTCTCTCTCTAAAACAGCACATTTCTTCTGAAAAAGAGGGGTCTCTGCCTCGCTCTTTATCCAGGGAAGCGAAAGGAGTACTATTTTTTTAGTTCTTTCTATGATGGCAAAATCAAAGAATAATGCAAAGAAAGTTTCTTACATTTCAGTTCCATCACAAATAATCAATTCTTTATCTTCTTCTTCTTTACAATCTTTGCTTCTTTCTCCAAAGAAACAATCAAGAAGCGGGTTTTTTGGGTTCAACTTGTATAGAAGTCCAAGATTTTGGTTCTTGGCTTTGTTTCTCTGTTGTTTTCTTGGTATGTTAAAGTTATTGAACAATCTTGACCCTTTAGTACCATCTTCTCCATACCCTTGCGTGACCAGTCAGCCACAGCAGCAAAATTCTCTCTCTTATGGTCACACAAGATCACGGCTTGGTTTTGTTTCCAATGGTGAAAGAACTGATAAGAAAGATCGAGACGTTGGATCTGTGAATGCTCGGGAGCTAAAATCTGAGGTGGGTTTTGGTTCAAATGAAGTAAAAGAGGAGTCTTTGAAAGGTGTGGTTGATTTTCAGGGTGGAAAATCTGATGGAGTTGAAGAGGAGAGTGAGTTTTGGAGACAACCTGATGGGTTGAGTTATAAGCCTTGCTTAAAGTTTAGTGGTGAGTACAGGAGAGGGAGTGAGATGATTGTTGAGGATAGGAGAAGGTATTTACTAGTTGTGGTTTCCGGTGGAATGAATCAGCAGAGGAATCAGATAGTGGATGCTGTGGTGATTGCAAGGATTCTTGGTGCTGCTTTGGTTGTTCCCATTCTGCAAGTCAATGTCATTTGGGGGGATGAAAGGTAAAAAACCTATTGCAAAGCATATTACAGAGCTAAATGTTTCTATTTCTTTGAAAAAGTTGCCTGTTTTTGGCAAACCTATTGAGCTGCAGCTGCATTTATGCTTATTGACCAAAGAAATTTTGTTAACAAATTTATTTTTCAAGTTTATGTTGTTAACTGTTCTGTCATTTGTTGTAGAAAAGGAAAGAATAACTGAAAAACAGAGCTTTCGTAACTACATTTCTTGGAAAGAAGGAAGTCCCTTTTTCATTTGTTTGTAATTGTTTTGTAAACAGAACTTTCCTATTTAGTTGATATTGTGTTTAACTGGTTTTGTGAGTTTGGTTTATTGTGGTCCAATTTAGAATCAGAAAGGTTTAAAATTTGTTCCATGATGAGTAATTTTTGGCATTTTAATCCTGTTGATTGTTATTTTTCCACTGTTTTATTAATTAATCTCATTTTTACTGAATTCTGCGGTTGCCCTTTTTGTTCTTAGGTTATAGAAACTAAATTTGTTTCCTTAGTAGTCTGTAAAACGATTTGTGTGTGTGTGTGTTTAGTTAATTAACATTTGTGATTGTGATTTTATATGGTGAATGCAGTGAATTTTCTGATATATTTGATTTGGAGCACTTCAAGAGAGCTCTAGCAAATGATGTGAGAATAGTTTCGTCATTGCCATCAACTCATATAACTACAAGACCAGTGGTTGAGAGCCGAACTCCACTCCATGTCTCCCCTCAGTGGATCCGTGCACGCTATCTCAAAAGGGTGAGAATTATTTCTCAGTTGTTTTCACTTTCGAATGTTGATTTAGTAATGAAAAAGAAAAAAAGAAGGAAAGTTTAGAATGTAGGCAAATAAGATAAGGCTGGCTGCTGATAGTTTGTAACTAGGCATAATGGCCCACTAATCGTTAAGGTATTATTGAGCATGTATGTCTGCTTTTTGGTTTTCTCTTTGCTTTTAACTGTTTGGATTTGGAGTATCGTGCTCAGGTTGTTGGGGTAGGATGCTATTAATTGATAATCAGGATTACAAAAGTGACTTGCCAAAATACTGCAACTGTACAAGGAGGTCTTAGAAAAAAAGAAAGAAAGAACTGTTGGAAAATTTCATTATTTCGTGGGCGCCAATTGCAGTCTGGCAGTCTAGTTATATTAATTAGCTGTGATCTCATACTTATTGGATGGTTCTGTTTGTTTTTTGGAAGGCATTTTGGATGAAAGATTCTTTGCCTGTACATTTGATTTACTAGCTTCAAAGAATGACCAATTCATGGTGTAGATGATTTTAATATCAACCTGTCCTCCTTTTGTCTATTTCTTTTCATGTGTTTGGTGTGTTATCATGGTAGTTGTCATTTCATATTTGATGGTTATCAATGTGCTCCAGCAGACACCAATTGGCATAGTGTGTCTTACTTGTGATTTCTTTTGGTTCTGCAGCTTAACAGGGAAGGTGTTTTGCTTTTACGTGGTTTGGATTCAAGGCTCTCTAAAGATCTTCCTTCTGATCTTCAGAAACTTAGATGCAAGGTATTTTAAGATCTGTCTTGTATTTTAGTTTTTCAGTTTAATGCTGTTATTCATACAGTTTCTCATTGTAGATGTTCTGATCTCATATTGTTTTGTCCAGGTGGCATTTCATGCATTGAGGTTTGCACCACCAGTTTTGGAGCTTGGTAACAAGCTTGCAGAGAGGATGCGGAGCAAAGGACCCTATCTTGCTCTCCATCTGCGGATGGAGTTGGATGTATGGGTGAGGACTGGATGCCATCCTGGTTTGAGCCGTGAATATGATGAGATGATCAATAATGAGAGGAAACAACGGCCTGAACTCCTTACTGCAAGGTCAAACATGACTTATCATGAAAGAAAGCTTGCTGGTCTCTGCCCCTTGAATGCCTTAGAGGTTGCAAGGTGAGAATTTAATCCTATGCAAGATGTTGTGTGAGGATTGAGGCAATGTAAATTCAATTTGCATAGTTGTTGCGTATGAACAATTTCTAAAGTGGAATTTTTTTCATTTTTATGTTTTAGGCTTCTTAAAGCTCTTGGAGCTCCAAAAAGTGCTAGAATATACTGGGCAGGAGGGCAACCACTTGGTGGGAAAGAAGCTTTGCTGCCACTAACCAGAGAATTTCCTCATTTCTACAACAAGGAAGATCTTGCCTTACCTGGTGAACTTAAACCATTTGCAAACAAAGCTTCCTTAATGGCTGCCATTGATTATATAGTTTCAGAGAACAGTGATGTGTTTATGCCATCTCATGGTGGAAACATGGGTCATGCAATCCAGGTACAGTCTACGTTCCTTTTTTTTTTCTTTTTTTTTGCATCTTGTAATTTTTACTTGTACAAACTGTAGAAGCAAGTAGACAAAATACATGCGTTCTTCTCTAGCTAAAGCACTGACTTCAGCCAATGATTCATTTGTCCAGTGGATCTTTAATGATCTTCGATTTATCGATTTAGAATCTCAAATGTGTTTCTCTTGCTATCTTGGAAACTGAATTTTTGTTTTTGTTACAGGGACACAGGGCATATGCAGGACACAAGAAGTATATAACCCCAAACAAAAGACACATGCTCCCTTATTTTCTAAATTCTTCTCTCCCTGAAGCAGAGTTCAGCAGAGTCATAAGAGAGTTGCACCGTGACTCCTTAGGGCAACCGGAACTCAGGACTAGCAAAGCTGGAAGAGATGTTACGAAGTATCCAGTTCCTGAGTGTATGTGTAGAGACTCGCATGCTCACTCGTTGTGATTGAATCCAATGGCTGCAAACATGGTGCAATTAGAATGCGATTTTATGCATGTACAGTGACTCTCATGCTCCTTCCTCGTGATTAAATCAGTGCCAACATGACGATAGAGTGCGAAATATTCGCTTCATCAGAAAAGTAAATTGCTTGGCATGTTCCTTGAATTTGAGTCCTTTTGAGAGCCAAGTAATAACAACCAAGGCAATGATGGCTCTTTGGAGCTCCATTTTTGAAGTGCAGTTGCAGAAGGCATGATTTTGCGAGTAATCTCATTTATTTAGTCATATGCTCTTATACGTGTGTGTGTGTTGTACATGGGAAACAAGATAGGTGTGTTATGACAAGAATAGTAAACTATACTGTCATTTTTTTAGTTCTTTATAGCTTATAGGTCATATTGTCCAATTTCTCTCTGTAGGATAGATCAATTACTTAATTCATTGTTTCTTTTAATCTATTTAGCATAGGTTCATACGATGTATATGTACAATAACACATTTCCAGTGAAATATTATTAGATGGCAAGTGTTCATCTGTTTTATCATCCTGTTTCAGTGTATCTTTTATTTGTCAGAACAATAATGATCTGGTCTTCTGATGCTCTAAAAACTGGTGTCTGACCTTTACAAAGTCCTTGTTCTGATTAATTCTTTAACAGAGCTTCGAAATTCAGATTGTTGTGATTTCTTCAAAATGGAGACATGAGCTGGGACAATGATCTGTTTGGATTGTGGGTCAAAATAGTGGACCTTGTAGTATTTGCTCTGGCATTTGGTAGGTACTGAACGATTCTCTAGCCAACTTTGGATAATTGCTGTTCAGTTATTCAACAAGGAAGACTGACATACATGAGGAAACTATAAAAGTTTGTACAGTGAATTCTGAAGCAAAAATGAAAAAGTTTAGTCCTCGCTCTTTTTTCTTCTCTGCATCTAGATGGTTAGAAATGACCCAATGGTAAATGAGGTTTTTAAATTTTGATTAAACACTTGGTATATTGCAGACCATGGACTAGAAACAAATTTCATATCTGGTCAAATTCAAATTACTTTATTTTTGAAGAATGATTGGATTTTTATGGGCTAAGTTTATTCGTTTCAAATGCAGCCCTAATGACTGGATTTTCTTCCCAAGATGGCTCCATTTGCTCACCAATGTACTCCTCATCTGGTGAATGGCTGGATAAAACATCCAAAACAGCCATCGCTTTTGTTGCTTGAATCTGCGACGGGAAGCATTTTAACAAGGCAAATTCTGGTTTCATCAAGAAAAGCATTTTAAGAAGTCAATTTTTTTTTTTTTTTTAAATTTTTTTTTATCATAGAGACTGATATAGCCATGCACTCTATATAGGATAGGAAGTGAAATTTAATGGAGAAGAGGAAGACCTTGTTGGTAAAGAAAATTATCTTCATAGGATTATCATGTTAGGAGTGAGCCCATGAATTGAACGCTATACCAATACCAAGAGGGCCATTAGGAACCCTATGTCCTTGTGATGTTCTTTCTCTATCAACACTGCACCAACCTCTCCAAATCATACAACCAAAATATTAAAAACCCAATTGATATTGGGGACTAAATTGAGATTTTTCTTAACAAGTTTATTTTTCCTTAGCTTTTTTATTTTTTTGATAAGTCAAATTGTCATTTATTTCATGAGCCCTACCTCGCTCCAAAATAAAGCGCACCTATTATAAAGTTTGGTAACGAACCGTGATGTTGTCATGTAAATAAACTTATTATTATGTTAATTTAATAATAAAAACCATAAACAATGTACAAAATTTGCAATAGCTAAATTACAAATAAAAATGTTATTTGAGGTTGAATTACATAGCTTAATAATTGTAATATTTTTTGAAATTCTATAAAATTTCTGAATTGCCATAGTTTTTTTGTAAAGAAAACTATGGAGAATCTCAAAAAAAAAAAAAAAAAAAACCAAAGTCGAAGGTATAGGAACCATCGGTAGGAATGAAAACTTAAGTTTACAAAAACATAATAATGCTATAGTTTTTTGAAAAACTGAAGTCAGAAAAAAGAAACACTGGAACTTTCTGTTCAATCGCAACATATATTTTTTCACTCGGAAAACTAAAAAACTACCTTTCTAATTTTCCAAATATGTATTGATTTTTTTTTTTAAAAATATTTTTTTTGAGATTCTCCATAGTTTTCTTTACAAAATATTAATGACTTTTATCAATTATGATTTTGATTTTTTTTTAATGAAAAATAGTTATAATTCTGACATATTTGTTTATTGGTGGAAAAATCATTCTCTGTTCTCAACAAATTAATGAACACGTTTTTCAATTTTTCATTGAAAAAAAAAAACTGAAAAAGAAAAAGAAAATGGCTTTCTATTTGTTAGTTGCAGACAAAGAAAGAAACGGACAAAGGAATGAAAAGGAAAGAAATATAAATCCTGCTGTATCTCTTCTTGTCCTATGAATTACAATATATGTATACACTCTAATGCTTATCATTCGGCTTGATCTATGTGACCGTTTATTCATGATGACAGCCCATTCTCCTTGATCCATGGTACAATATATTGACAGCCCATTAATATTGCTATAATTACGCTAAAGCTGTTACTTAACAGTCCCTAGGAGGTTGTATTTTCCATATTTTCTCTTAAGCATAGATTTATTTGCTAATACATTATTTTTATTAAAAAAAATTACAAAATAGCTCTTTAGTTTTGAGGATTCTTGCTTCAAAAACTAATTATTTAATTATTTTTTTCTATTTTATATATATATTTTTTATTTGTTTTTTGTTTTAAAAATACCAAAAAGCAGCAGAAGAAGAAGAGATGGATGAAATAAGAAGTTATAAAATTAAATTAAATTAAGATAATCATATGGATTAAATAATTAGTTTTTACACAAAAATAAGTAATTACGTTTTTTTTTTAAAATAAGGAGACTAATTTATAAAACTCTTCCTTTTATGCGTAAACGACAGAATTTCAAACACCGTGCTTATCTTTTCTTAAGCATAGATTTACTGGCCAATTCTTTCTTCGCACTAAATCTATGCATGAGGCAAAGAATTGGCGGGATGGTCAAGTAAGTTTGTCCTTTCCCTTAATATTTCAATTTTGAACTTGGAACCTAATATCCAGAGAAATGATTTTATTTAATATGCCAAATCGATGTAAAAAATGTGCCTAAAAACTATTTAAAAACAGATTTAATTTGAGTTGATGTATAAATTGATCCCATGAGAATACCCTAACCATTGAAAATAAAATAAAATAAAAATCCTTGAATACCATAGCTTAGTTAGTGCGTATATCAATAATGCAATTCTTGTTATATCAGTTGATCAGAAGTGGTGGTCATTTCCCATCCTCTTTTTATGCATTAATGATTTATTAGGAAACAACGATTGCTTCTAATTATAATGATATACTCTTTGCACCAACGTCTTGCTTACATATTCTGGCCTGCAGAATGTCCTTTCATTGTATATTTTATACATCGATCATCCATAAATGGACAAGATAACTTCAAGTTACGCAAATTCAATTCTATTCTCCTCTCATATGGTTGCTCCTGATTAGGGTCGGATATGTAGTAGGAAGTAAACATGCGTAGAGAGATAGAAAACTGAAAGTGTATAGGGAATTTTTTTTGAAGTCTTTACTACTTGGAGATGCAGCAGGGAATTGGGTTACAGCCAACTTCTATATATATATATATATATATATATATATATATATATATATATATATATATATTTTTATACCAGAATTCTTCAGAATGATTAAAAATTAATTGAGATATATTGAAGAAAATTTCATATTTGGTCAACCTCAAATGGTTTTTTATTTTTTGTTTTTCAAATGATTCAGAACTGTTTTGTTGCTTGAGTTGAAGTCAAAATTAACCGAACTATATGATGGGAAAAGCATAAAGTGAAGAGAATGCTGAGAAATTTTTATTCATGGAACTTATTTGGATGGCATCAAATATAGGAAGCAAGCTGGGCATAATCCATGGTGATAGTTTATTACAAGCATATTAAATGGAGATGCTATTAGGGACTCCCTTCCCTGTAACACCAGGTGCAGAGAAGGGCTTTAGGAGCTCATATGGAACAACTCCAGCTCCAGTCCTATTTTTCAGGTTGAAGTCAGTGTTCCTCTGATCAATAATCCCTTCAAGCTCCTTCAGTCTTCCAGTAAACCTTTCAAATGCAGCCTTAATGACCTGATTTTCTTCCCAAGATGGCTCCGTTTTCTCACCAATATACTCCTCATCAGGCGAATGGCTAGATAAAACATTCAGAACAGCCATCACTGTTGTTGCTTGAATCTGTGTAGGGAAGCATTTTAACAGCGAAAGTTCTGGTTTCTTCAAGAAGAGATTCCACTCCTCATCTGCTGGTGACTCAGTTGGCATGTTGGTTCGAGCTATTGTTGGCTTGTTGGGGAAGTACCCACCATACATGTACTGCCCAAAATTCACAGCTGCATGATGACCGGCGGTAACCCAAATTATTGTAGTTAAAACTTGAACCAAGTCTTCTTGCGTTTTCAAGACAGGCCACCATGGTTCATCCTTCTTGTCTTCATGGCCTTTAGTTCGAACTTCTGTCCACCATGCTTGAAGTTCATCGTCCGACTCCACCATTCTTGCTTCTGGGTAGTAGTGGTTCACATAGTCACCAACCCAGTCCTTAATTGCATCCCAAAGAATGAGACCATCATTGGCAAATGGATAGTCTTCAATTGTCAGCTTTAGGCCATGTTCTGCTGTTGGATCCTCAACGGCCATTCCCCTGAAATTGATGAAGGCAGAGAATCGATGAATTGTGCCTCTAAACGAAAAGGCCATCAAAAAACTGTAGAAAAAAGCTATACAAACTCTTGACCTATGTATGTGCATTACCTTCTAATTAGGTCAGCTGGCAACGCTTCCGTATCGAAACGCCAGAGCTTGTCATAAGCAACTGAGCTGATCTCCATGGAGTATTTTCCAGGAGAGAATGTGTTTTCAATTATTCCGGCTGCATTGATGAGGCTCTCTCGAGCAAGAGCATTGATTTCCATCGTATATCGGAAATGCGGACGTAGAAGTCTATTGATTGGATGCATTGCGCTTAGTTGCCTATTAGCTGCAATTATGTATGGCTCTGTACAGCAATGTGTCCTTAGCCTGCAACAAGAGTCCCAAAGTTTAATTGCCTTGATCATGGCTTTGAGTTTGTACCAGTGAATGACAAGTCTAAAACTTATCAAATGTTACGAATCTTAATCTCAACTCAGACATACCAGTGAATGACAAGCTGGTGGTAACCAGAGTCATGAGCACAAACATGAGCTTTAGCTAGCCTCCAAAGCCAGCAAGCAGTGGCATCAAAACAACTCGGTGTGAACACTTGTTTCCATTGTGGCTTGTCACCGGATGGTGGCCTAGTGAGTTCAATGGCAAGAGGCCTCAATGAGCCATTTTCCGTGAGGAAGAACAGTGTCCGAGATCCATATAGGGTAGTGCCTTCAAGCTCTCTCACTTTGTTGACATAAGGCAAGTATAAATCATGATGATCCAACACAAAAAGCCTCTTTTGCTTCATAGCCTACAAACCACCAAATTCTAACATCTTAATTTGGAAAATCTTGTGAAACAATACAAAATAGAAAATTAGCTTGTTTACCAAAGTTTATACCCTTCATCAGGGCATAGAGCTTACCTCTTCAACAGTCATAATTCCTCCGATCTCTTTGTCCACAAGTTCTGTTGTGATCATTGATTCAGGAGGGCCATAGATTTCAGGGTCAAGCCTACTTGTTAGAGGCCATTCCTGCACGAAACATGTCACAACAATATTCTTACTTTTCTGCTACCCTTCTCTAATGCAAAAGTGATTCAATGCGGAGTTTCTTACCGTAACTAACTGTATGCTGAAAGGATTTAGACCAGCCAGTGTTTGCCGAGAGAATTCTTCATCCCTGAACCAAGAAAATTTATCTCCTGCAAAAGAAATTTACCTGTAAAAAATTTATTCTATAAATATACGTGTATGAGGAGAGGTAGAGGTGGAGGGAATCGTACTATCCATCATTTCTGGAGTGTCAAAGAGCAACAATTCATCTCCTCCCTCTCTGAACGTTTTCACTAGCCTTGGCAATACCGTGCGGAAAAACCCAGGATTTTTCGGCTTAGGCAATGCAACTCCTTCATCAAAAAGAGAGTCTATGGCATTGAAGTAAGGGAATCCAAGCTTTGGATCACTAAAAACAGACTCAATCGATGGCAGCAGCGCGTTTAACACAGACTTCAATGCCTTCGCTGAGAAAGTTAACCCTTTCACCTCGGAGAACGCCTCATCCCTCGGTACATAGTTAATGATGCTTTTTGATTCTGATGATGGGTCTGCATTCGAAAAACATAAAAGTTTATCGGACATTCCAGATAGAATCATAAATGTTTTCAGTAAACAGGAACTTCAGTTACCCTTCCTAGAGCGTGGGCGGCCAGTTCTGCAACGCCTGGGGTATGGGTGCTCCTTGCCGCCTAGGACAGGCCTTGCTAGTTTACTGCTTATATCTGGAAAACCAAGGTCATTATAAGTATCATAGTCATAGATCCTCTCATGTAACTTTCTCTCCTCCTGTCCATTTCCTCGGAGAATTTCCAGCTCTTGCTTCCTTAACCTCTTCAGTCCATCAGGTGTCTCGGATGGTAAGTAGGACTGGTTCATAATTAAGCCACATGAAGCACATTAGACACAGATTAGAAACAACTGAAAAACAACACTCAAGCTAAGAGAATCTTATTTACACATTGAACTTTTTCCCCCCTTTTATCTGCGTGTTACTTTTTATTTCTAATTAAGTATTTTCCAAAAAAAAAAAAAAAAAAAAAAAAAAAAGTTGTTTTTTGCCCTTTTTCATATTTTACGAAACTACGACAAAAGCTTTACCGACATTTTATATTTTCTTAGGTCATGTTTGGTATGATTTTAATTTCCAAATGGATTTGAATTGTTTTTCAATTTTTGATTCAAAGAAAAGTTGTAAGCATGTTTTGTTAGAAATAATTAACTTTTAATTAAAAGCAAAACGTTGTTACAAAATTGAGTCAAAATTTTGTTTTAATAAAAAATTAAATTGTTTAACTTATGGATTATAACATAATATATATATATATATATATATATATATATATATATATATATATATATTATATAATAAAAAATTAAATTTTTTGACTTATGGATTCTAACATTATATATATATAGTTTTAAAAAAGTTGTTTTTTAAGTGATTTCTACGAAAAAAGGTTTTTTAATTTAAAATCATTTTAACTCATTTTTATCATAAGTTACATATATAGGTAAAAGTCTGCTACACTCTTTCCAATAAATGTTTCACTGCAACACAATCTGTAACGATATTTTTGGAAACGCCATCATAAAATATGCATATTTATGGAAATCGAAGTGCCTTTAGAAATGAATGCAAGAAATTTACGTATAAAAGCAGAAATTAATTAATAAACTTATTTGTGGATAATGGAAAAATGTTAAATTTTTTTGAAAAGATAAAGACCTTGTTGCTAAAGAAAATTCTCTTCGTAGAATCATCATATTTCGAATGAGCCCATGAATCACATTCAACATTGACGGGACCATTAGGGAATCCTTCAAGAACTATGTCCTTAAGAAAGATTTCCTTGTGATGTTGGTTCTCTACCAAAACTGCTCCAACCTCTCCGAATCCTGCCGGTACCGTGAATTTAGTCTCATATTTCACCTCATCATCTTCTTGGCTAGCTTTATGAGCATAAGCCTTGATTGTTTCCTTCTCCGACCCAGAATCTGCCCAAAAAATATAACCAGACATATAATTAAGTTCATGAAAAACTTTATAGATACATGCAACACTATCGAAATATCAGTAAATAAAAAGGAAAAAAAAATTTCAAGAACACTACTTACTGGGATCAAGCTGTGAGCTAACAAGCTCCAAAAGAAAAGTTTTACCAAATACATCAGTTAACTCATCAAAAGGTTGTGTCAAAGCAATATTGGAGAAAATCCCACCAACTGTTACTTTAACTGTAACAGTTGCCTTAACTTTCACAGCCGTTTGAGTTGTTGATGGTGCTGATACAGCCTTGGCATTACCAAAAGCTGCACGGATGCTAGAGTTAGCTTGCCTTTTAGGGAAATTTTGCTGCTTATAAATGGGAATGCTGCTAGGGTTTGCATGGCTCAGGACTGAGGGCTTTGGTAAAAGCGATGACAAGGGTTTGGTGGAGTTGAGCTTTTGAATCTGAGAGCTTATCATTTTAAGAGGCAGTGGTGATGAAGTTTGGGAAGGATCGATGTAGCTACTTGGTTGGGGACAATGAGAGTTGTGAGATTGGTAGCATGTATTTATAATGTTGGGGTGGAGGAAGTGGACGGGGACAAGAGATCCATTTGTCAAGTTGCATTCTATTATGACATCTCCTTTCTCCCTCGAAATTTGAAATCTCTAGTTTCAAGAATGGATGGCTAGGCGCCGCTAACCATATAAATGAGGTGGACTTAATTTTAATGCACAAAAGCGTACGAAAAAATTTTAAGATTTACATTAGAGAGTCAATTTATATATTTATTAATACAATAACAATAAAAATAAAATTGATGGTTTACAGCTGTTTGCTATAATTCATTAACATGGTTTTGGATATTTTGAAACTTGATACTTTATATAGAAACCATTTTTTAATTTCAACTCATTATGGAAGGAGCTATATATCTCGTGTTAGTCCTATGCATGAATTCCTGTTATATTATTTTTAAATCGTAATTTTTTAAGGGTAAAGATTCTGAAATACTGAATGCTAATTGCATGCATGAGAGGTATTAAATCAATTAAGAAAATGGAGAATTATCTCCTACAGGAGAGAGAAAGATAACTTTTTTCTTTTTTCTTTTTTTTTTTTGTCTGAAGTAGTGATATTCCTAAGCTTTTGGTCTCCAAAAATAATCAAAACATATAGTTATGTTCTCGAAGTAGAAGAAAGCTTTTTACGTTTTCCTATTGGATCATAATTTTATTTATGTATAGTACTGTATTCTGTGATGAGAAGTTGAATATTATATATAAGAGCACGAGAGTTTATTTACATTGATAGATATCACTGTAGATCCAATAGCCGAAGTAGTAGAATTCAAAATTATTAAATAAAAGAAAATAATGTATAGCCAGCTTTTCGCAGAAAGCATATCTCGATAACCGGATATGATTCATAAAGTATGACTGCCCATACTCTTACGCACATTAAATTTCAGCCAACTTTTGCATTTTGCATGTATTGTGCACGTGTTAAATTGCGCACTGTCAGGGAACAAAAATTGACTGGTAATATATAAGAAATATAAAAATTATTAACTGGACAGATCGTCCGAGAAAGACAAATATTTTATATGGAGATAATGCCTGCAGGCATTATTGTACAACGCCAGGCTTTCGAAAATATTATCCTGATTGGATCACACCTCCCATCGACAATCCATGAGACGAGAAAATCAATATAAATATACAATAATAATAAAACATAAGTATTGCAATTTTAAATGGATTCTATGGCTAATTATGACAAATTGAATGTTATATGTTAATAAGATATTTCAATCTTAATCAATAATACATTGTCATCTACTAAAAAATTTACACATGCACTTGTCCCTCTTGCCATATATGTAAATAAAATAAAACGATACCAAGTTGGAAAAAAGAGAACATACGAGAAAAGTTTTTAAACAATTGAATCACAATTTCTTAGCACGTTTTTTTTTATTACTTAAATAAATTGAAAACGTACTTCTTAAACTTTAGTTTAAGATGTATATTGAATATTTTTTTAGTAAAATATAAAAGTAAAAAAATCAATAAAACCATCTGTTATACTATACCAACCTAGCCACATCGAAGTCCTTCAAATTGTTCAAAAATTTATAATAGCATATAAGTTGAATTATGTAATCTTTAAATTCTTATTTCAATTGAGCTATTTTTCCAAAATAGATTACAAAACAAGTGATAAGATAGTATTGCTTTCAAAAATCGAGAATAATTAAAAATTTAAACTTGACATGTATCGAGAAAATAAAATATATTATACATTCTTCAAAATTCGTATTACTTTTTTATTTTAGTTTTAGGATAGAAAATTAATAAGAAAAAACTTAATGTTGATACCAAGTTGAAAAAAAAAGCAATAAAAAAGTAAGAAAAATATAAATAAACATGATTATAATGATTATAATAAAACACAAGTAAGATTATGATAATATATATAGTTAAATTACTGAATAATTGATCATATACAAATATATAGCTGAATGATCAAAATTGTATTGCCCCCGCATACGTCTAGGGATCAATTTATGTCTACTTGTTAATAGCACAAAAAATAAGAAGAAAAGGAAAACAAGAATAGAAAATTTTTACAAACTAAATTCATTTACATCCACGGTCAAAACCATGCCAATATACTATTTTTATTTTTATTTTTTTTGTTGAAATGACTGTTAGTGTAGGATGATTAGGGTATTCTTTGTATTAATTGAGATTGATTAAATCTACTATGCTTTAGATTATATCAGAATCAAATTATACTTAATTTTGAATTGATTTTAAAAATTAAACTCTTTGAAGCCATCTGATTATGCTTTCTATATGTATCTTTCAGATCTTAGCTCTTCATATAAGATAGAGATTTTATTGCATATTGTGAGTCCATACTTAAAAAGTTTGTTACACCATCGCACTGTGGTGATATCACCATCCTTGTTTGTCCCATTAGATCCGGACGCAGCTTGATAGCTGGATTGCTTGCATATTTGTTTGGCACATAATAAGAAGTGTCTTTCCTTAGATGAATCTTTTCATATTTTTCTTCAAGGTAGTTAAGGTATCACGTGAAAATTATTCAAAAACAAGACAGGTTAATCCTTGATTAAAATGAGAAATTAGGGATCACGTGAAACCATTTAAATTAAAGTTCTTACCAGATAAGACAGGTTGAATCCCATTAAAGATGAGGGTGACAGTCAATAAAGGGCGGAGTTCTGAGACTGTATTGGCCACAGTTTCAACACCGGCGAAGGCATAGTTGATCACACGGCGTAGAGCAAGAACAACTCCAGCTTCTACGAGGGCGATTGTAAGAGAAACCAAAGTCACCATAACAACTGAAAATGCAGCTGACTTGGGATTTCTTGCTCCCTATTCATTGCTAACCCTCACACTGTTCAATAGAATTCAAATATTTTTATTGATTTGCAGTTTGCAATTTAAAAGTAATCAGAACTATTAAAACGAGCTGCAAATAAAATTTTTTGTTGAAATAAGAAGAAAAATAAGAAGAAAAAGAAAACAAGAATAGAAAATTTTTACAAATTAAATTCATTTACATCCACGGTCAAAACCATGCCGATTTGAAGGGGCATCGGATTGCTTGCAGCTTGTGAATGACATCATTGATTTCCTCAATTATTGAATCTGCAGCCAAGCGAGCTGTTTTTAAAATATTTGCCCATACGTTGCTTCCTTTATTTTCTGAAGATAAGTTAGACAACACTATTTGAATAAGAATTGTTTGTACCATTTTCAACAATGACTGCTGACTGAATCTGCACACCAATAAATACAAAAAATATGGACTATAATATTAAACACAAAATGGTTAAAAGCTTCTGTGGATTTTTCTATTCTTGATTTAAATATTTTTCGATTCTAGCTCAACTATTTTTCATAATCTCGACATATTAGTCCTTTTGTTAAAAATTTCAACCGCAGTATGTATGTTCACTTTTTTTTTATTTTTAAATAACATTAAATATTATAGATGATAGAATTCGAATACAAAATCGAGTTTATGAAAACATGCACATACAATTCTTCCATATCGAATCATGTGATCTTTTTGTGTTACCAAACATATATATTTTATAAATGTATCGATATTATTATTTTGATTTTTTTCTTAATTAAAAGTAATTTGATATTTTCATTTTTAAGTTTTAATATTTTTATTTCATACTTGTTGATAAGGTTTAACATTATATTAAGATGTCGTTTAGTTATCCAAAATAAAAATACAAGAATTGAAATAAAAAATAATGAATCAAAATGACATTTGTATTCCCATATTGTGTTTGGAACACTAATGAAAAGTCGAAATGCAATTTAAATTTTTTAATATCTGATTTTTATACCAATAAAAATAATGATTGAAAAAATAATTTTATCAAACTATAATCATTATAAAAATAATAAAGATGATGATGGTGGTGGTAATGGCAAAAATGATTCTAATGGTGGTGGTGGTAGTGGTTATGGTTATGATGGTGCTTGTTGTGATTGCAGTGATAGTGTTGGTGTTGGTTACGTAATGGTGATGGTGGTGGTTATGACGATGACGGTGGTGGTAGTGGTAATAAAACTAGTTAATAGACAATAAATACATAAATTATATTATTATTTTGAAAAACAAAATTCATTCCTATTTCTCATTTTTATTCCCACATTTTATATGGAAATGAAGTTGTATGCAAATTTTCATTTTCATTTCTATTCCCATTTTTTATTCTCATTTTCATTTCATTCATTTTAATCAAACAACTACAACGTGAGAATAAAATTTACATTCTTATTCTCATCACTCTATTTCTAATTACTAAACAACATTTAAGTAAAATAAAAATCTATGCTCAGTAATATTACAATGTTAAACATGATATTGTTAAATTGAGAATGAAGGTGAAGATTGAAATAAAAGATGCAGGGACCTAGCCAAGATGTACAATAAAGGACAAGGATATGTCATCATCAAGTGTTTTGAGGTAGTGGTAAATTAAATGCAAATTAAGGATTATGTAAAATAATAATAATAATAATTAAAGAATAATACCATGCTGGAAAAAGCCAAAGGATTAGGGATAAAAACAGATCAATCCCTAACTAGTATATATATGATTTCAAATATTAGTCTCCGACTTTTAAATTTATGCATTTTCTAGACCAACCTTCTATATATGGTTTTGACATGGTGGCCCATTCATTAGAATACTTCAACGTGCGGCAAAGCATATATCCATTTAACAAATTATAACAAATTAAGGTCATTGATGATAGGATTGAATCAATAAATCAAGATTTAAGAAAACATGTGCACCTAATCATGGCATCATGCTCTATATATATATATATATATATATATATATATATATATATCCTTTGTACTAAAGCTCGTGTTAGCATGTTGTCGAATTAGTTTAACCACTATGTTAGTA